AAGACAAACCTCCAGTTCATTTTACAATCACCTTATTAGCTACATTTCCCAATGAAGCCATCTGTGATGAAGTACAAGTACAAACTTTGCAGGTGTCATCTCCCTTAGATACAACAGAACTTCAAAAGGTTCTCAGCCTTATCAGAAAACATCAGAGGAGAAAAATTGTTCTTGCTTTATTTTTCAACATAGTCTCCTTTAACTTCAATGTGCTTGGTCCATTGATGTTCAAGCTTTGCTGTCGTGTTGCAGAAGAAGGTCTCATCTTGAGCCTCCAGATTCTCCTCGCAGCACAATGACTTCATCATCGTTCTGAAGATGGCGATGACGCGAGTTGGATTTCAGTTTCAGATAGACGTCAGGTGGTGCAGGTCAGGTGAGTAAGATGCATGAAGTAACAGTTCAAAGCCACATTTGGCTGCTTCTGCCGCCCATGCACGTCCTCGAGCAACAGCATGGCAACTTGAAACTTTCCTCTTCTTTTTTCTTTGATTACTTAAAACATTTACGTTTTTTGTGGGCAGTGATCTAAGGAGTTACAGCCCTTGTTTCTGGGTGAGGCAGAGAACTTTTTGAAGTACTCTTGTAGGGTGGGACTCGTCAGCTTGCTGACGTAAGAAATAGATCTTTCTAACATGTGATTAACATTTTGAAAGAGTGCATTTTAACCCAAATGATGATTCTCCCCACCCCAAATCTAACAAAGTGGTGCAAAAACCCAAATAAAACAAAAGTATGGTGGGAGTGAACACAAAACTAAACTCCAAAAATATTTTAAACCACACAAAATAATGTTGGGACTCAAAAAAAAAAAAAAATTACAGTTTGCATAAATCTTTTTAAGCTATTCTTCTAATAAAATTATATTCAATAAGAAAACTACACTGAGTTTCATTAAGTTACCTCAACTTGAATTTAGTTTAAATCAACTGAAAGAAATTTGAGTTTAAATTAGGCACAACAGTAAATTGATGCAATTACCAACATTATTATATCAATCCAATCCATCAACAATAATATTTGCAACTTAAAAGCTTTATGTAATTAAGTAAATTAGATTCCTCAACTTGTAACTGTGCATTTATTTAAGTGGTGGAAATAACTTGAATTACTTTATAGAGTGTAGGTGTCCCCAGATGGCACAGAAACTCCAGTCTCCTGGGTTACAGTCCTGTCATCTGTGTCCACACCACTCATCCACCTGTGTATAGAGGTTACGCTTTCAGACTGGAAACACTCCTATATGTTGTTTTGTAACACTTAAGGCCAGTTCATGGTTTGTGCATGATCAATGAGGACTTTGTAGGTGGACAAGGTAAACACTCGTATCTATTCAAGCATGAAATAGATGTGCATTGATATGTAGAGAGCGGCATCGCTCTTAATATCAAAAACAGAAAAGTCCACCCATGGATGTTTTTTCTGAAAAGCTGGCTATGACTTCTTACAAGATATAGCAGTTAGATAAACATTGGGTTGTAGCACCAAGTTAATTTGATTATTCTGAGGTGCGTCTAGCAAGGTAGGTGAACATAGCACAGGATTTCTGGAGAAATTGGGACTTATATTGGACGTATCCAAGTGGTAACCTTCACAGCCCAAAGAAATGGAGCCAACACAGAGCTTCTAAAAATTGCAGTTCCACAAACGGCCACTTGAGGCTGCCTCCAAAACAATCCTCGTAGACACCCATGTTAAAATGAAAATGTTTCCAGAAAGTTACGAAAACAGTTTTTGTCTGTATAGCTAATTTCTACATTTATAACAACTCAATAGGTGTGATTTTTTTTTTTAATGTAACTCATTAATTTAAATTGCATTGAGGTTTTAAAGTTATGCATAATTAGGGGTGTGACAAGTTTGTACTGTAATAGGACAATCCATGGCCCACCTTCGCTCCACTCATTTTTAGATCAGCCAGGAGTTCGGTGGAGTCAGGTGCCACCAAGATAGCGACAGCCATAACTCTGAGCCTTAAAACCACTGTTCAGAAAACCTCTGGGTAACGTTACACAGAGTCCATCTTTATATACGGTCTGGTATCAAAATGTAATGACGTGAGCAATAAGGTAGTTTAGGCTGGAGAATTTGTTGCAGTAAAGCCTTTACCTGATGCTGGCAGTAGATAAAAACGTCCAATGAAATTATGACAATGAATCCTTAGGAGAGCAGTGTCGGCAGTAAATTTCAATTCATTCTGAAAATAAGGGCTCTGGAGGCAGAGTCATCCATCACCAAAGATTCATCCCTTTGAGACCCTGTCTGTGTCACGTCTGTACCAAATTTCCTTGCAATCTATCTGATAGATGGAGATGTTCCGTTCTGGACCAAAGTGACGAACTGATCAAGCAAGACAACAAAACTGGCAACGGCAGGCACGTCAAAAACACTGATACTTACTATCACTGCAAGTTTTCCTCTGTCTTTACAGTGAATAATAAGAGCAAAAAATGTGGCTCCAGGCATCTGCTAAATAGATCTGTGGTCACTTTCACTTCAGTACTAGGAATTGTGGTGTGTGTGTGTGTAAGCTTCATATTAGGAAATATTTTTAAAGAGAAATTGAAAAATAGCTGTGGTTTCAAACTGTGTCCGCCTTGCCTGTGTGCAGTTTTATCTTGCCAGTGCACTTTAAAGTGCGAGTTTTCACACTTTGAAACACTTTTATTTTGTAACCATTTTACTTCGGGTTAAGCTGGGGCACTTGAAAGAAAATACGCACTTTGCAAAATGTACAAC